GCTTTGTGGAGAGTTTTGTTGATAAAACTGTAAATACCTGTTAGCGCCCCCTACACAGTGTTTCATACCACAGTCTGAACAAAAAACAACCTAAGGATTTATCTAGTGTTGGAGTGTCAGCAGCAAAGCAGCTAAACATGAAAGGGTAAAGGCACTAGGATAAAATAAAATGGGTTTATTGAGGGGAGCATAAATGTGTGGAAACATGATATTTTATAAAATCTTGTACAGTCTTGGAACTTTTTGCCGGATGGTGGTGTTAGAGAAAAGGCAGTGGGATCCTCTTGGACAATGAACATTTTATCTTCATTTTTTTTCTGTTCTTGTTACTTATTCTGCATACTTTCCCTTTTTCTTTAACTTGGAATAGCAGCTCCCCCAGGCACAACAATTTATCCCCTCTCCCTCACCTGCTTCCCAAGAACCAACACTGACAGTTGTTCAATAAATTGCTCATCCTGGGTAGCAGTTATATTCTGAATCAACTTAGTGTCCTGGAAATATAATTAGGCCAACATTATACTGAAGTTGTTATCAGTAAAACAAACGTTTAACTGCTCGGTGTCTTCACAGCTCTGCTGCCTGATGGTCTGTTGTCTGTTGTCCACATCACTGATGACGGAATGAGCATCCTGGAACCGCTGGAGATTACAGACACTCATGTAGTTGTTAAAGTTCCTCACCTCTCTATATTTGGCCTAGTTTGGGACATTGTTAAGAGGTTGTGGACGAAACCAGTTAACGGCCGAGTTCTGCTTTTCCACAAACCAGCAAACCCAGTAACACAAACGCAAAAACTCAATGTGTTTCTCCTCCCGAGGAACATCGATATTGACGAGGTAAGGCTTCATGTTACAGCTGTCAGTCCTTGTTTTGTGCAAAATATTCAAAAGTTTAACTGAATTAATATGAAGCTTAACAGTCTCAGTTAGACACTCGTGTACTGTACTGTATTCTCTAAGAGGTAGAATTTGGGGGATAGTGCTGAATGCTGCTTCCCAGTCTTTGGAAAGGAATTCCTCTTGTAAGTCTTCTCAACAGACATTAACTGAAGATAAAGAAGCCCCTTTTCTGTCCACTTCATAAAATCTGAATCTGATCTGCCTGGTGGGAAAGAGTGGTTACCGTTTTCCTGTGGGAGACATTGTCAATATTCATCAAAGGATGTTTTACCTGAAAAGTAAAACCTCCTGATAATGAAGGTTGTTCCTCTCATTCACCCTCCTCTAGGTTTCTCCATCATTGTCCATGTAAGTGCTGAAGTCTCCCATTATAGAGTGTTGCTTGTGATAATCCCCACACCTCTCTCACTCTGGCCAACTGGAAAAGGAAAGAGCCCAGCTCCTGTCCAGGAGTTTGGTTTAAGATCCGGTGCTATGCATAGAAATGAGCCCATCAATGTATTTAGTTGGTTTGCTCCACCTCCGGTTCATTATCCACCAGAGTTCATTCCACGTCCCTAGAACCAGTCTCAAAATACTCATTAACATATTTTCTCACGTTCTGTTTTGTCCAGTTTGAACTTTGACTTCAAGTTGTCACTTCTGAGACATCGTTAGTGGACTCACCGTCCCTTTTCTCTGGTATGATGTAATGCATGCTAGCCTTAGCCCTCACTATCATCAAAGTTAGCACCAGGTTAGCAACTCTGACTGAAATGGCTTGTTGTAGTTTTTCAAGCTTTACTTTGTGAGAGAGGCATTAGAGCTGCAAATGACACCAACAAAAGTCCCAAATGACAAGTACTGGTCGAAACTTTGTAGAACCGGTACCGGAGGTTGAGTACTGTGGAATAAAAGTATTTATGTTAAAATGTTCTGATGTCTCTTTAGGTCAGCAAACAGCAGCAGCCTTATAAGAACATCAAGCCCTCTTCTAAATGCAAACTAATCAAAGATCAAATTTACAGTCTAGACTGTCCTGAGGCCAGCAAAATTCAGCCAGAGGTGAGTATTTTTGATAAAAGTCTTTGTTAGTTCTGAAACAATTCAGCCAATTGCTGTTGGTCTACTCTGGACACTACTCAGAAACTGATATTTTGGTTTTCAGAAAGAAGAGTTTGACCTGGAGTTTGGACCAAATTATGACCCAATGTTTGAGATCTGGCTGCCTGCAAACAAAAGAAGAGTAATATTAACGGTTCAAGACCAAACACAGATTGTGCTCTGGAAGCGTGAAGTTGATCTGACAGGTAAAGTCTTCATGAAATAGAGCAGATTGATTTGTGCCTTTATTACTACTCTGCCTCAGATCATTCTTCAGTCTGCATTCATCCTGGAGTCCACTCTTTAACCAGTTTTGAGGGATCTTATTGAGCTCCAGGGCCAGTGTGTGCAAAACATAAAGTGGATATAATCAATATTTTTATACTAACCATGTATTAAATGACAGTGTGTTACCTCATTGTTTATCAGACCAGCCAAAAACTTTACTGTTCTGGTTCACTCTCACAGATCTCATTGCATCGTTTTCAGAGAAAAGTTGTAAAAAGAAGCTGTGCACTTTCTGCTCAGCAGCAAACAGCAGTCAGACACAGTTAGATACTAGCTGGTGAACATAGTGGAGCATTCAGCTGCTAAAGAAACAGATATTTCCCTCAGGAGTTGGTAGAGACATTAACCAGAGTTTAGATCATATTGGTCTATAACTGCTGCACTTGTGGTTTGGTCAGCTGTTCTGGGTGATCAGGTTGTGGGCAGTGATCGTCTCAAGGTCCACTGCATTGCATCCAATCCCTGCTCTTTCTTTTCCAATGTTGATGAGTGTATTTCTATCATAAGTAATATTTGATAAGGCGAAAAATAACAAATTAAAACCAAACTGTGGCAAGTTTGAGGGAACTACTCGCTCTCATACAACACTGACCTTACTTTATGCAAGCTGTGATTGGTTGTAAGGAAATAAGTTATCCTACAAGATAAACAGATAATTAACAGTATATTGATCGATTAATGAAAAGAAAGGGAGCACCATCATAAAATCATGAAGTATACATTTTTGCCTTTAAAATATTGTCATTTGTGTTTTAAAAGTGATTGTTGGTTATTAAACAAAATTATTTTCCCTCATTATCTTCCAGATTCATTAGAGGAAATTCCACAGAGGAATAACCAAGCAGATGACAGAGTCCCAGCAGAGGACAGAGTCCAAGCAGAGGAGAGGCTGTTCTCAGTTCGGGCACAGTTTATAAGTAGAGTGTCTGAACCTGTTCTCAACCAGCTTCTGGATAAACTTCTTGAGTGTCGCATTATAAATGATGCTGAAATGCATTCAATCAAAACTAAAGCCAGAGATGAAAAAGCACGAGACGTGATTGACACAGTGCTAAGAAAAAATGCCAGCTCAGCCCTGATCGCCGCTCACCGTGAGGTGGATCCATGTCTATCCAGAGAGCTGAACTTGAACTGAAATAGAAGCAACAGACTGCTGTGATCTTTAAATGGGAAGTTTTGATTCTGAAACAGAGAGATACTGGCTGATATTGAAACACACAGACAGAAGCTCATTTGTGACCAAGGCAATTGGTCTAATTAAAAGTGTGGTCAAAGACCTTTTAAAACAAAGTTCTTGGTTAAATGTAAAAGCCTCAAATAAGATGGAGCAAATTCCTCCTTCCTTTGTTGCCCCATTAGATATTCAGTTTATTAACTTCTTTGTACGTTGGGTTTAATAAATGGGGTTAGTATTTCATACAGAAATTGCCCGGGGCTGCTCCCCTTTCCCCTTTACCACTCCTACATGAGGGCAGGTAGTCAGGGTTCAGGTTGGCCCCAGGGACAGTTAATTGTCAGCTTACTTGCTTTGTTTTTCATTTTTTTTAATTTTTCATTCTGGTTGTCTCACACTAGTTAGGAGAATTGTCATTCATTGTGCCATGAGCACATTCCAAAGACCAAGGCTGTCTCCTGGAGAGTAGGGCATCAGATGTGTTATGACTACTGCTTATCAGACATTAGACGTCACCAATAGACACCCTTGGGAAAGAGGCATATAATAGAGTGAT